TTTTTTTTGGCGGTTTTCTTTAATTAATGTTTTTTTTTGCTTTTGCAGTTCCTAGGCTTATGGACCCTTATTCAATGAGACTACCGCCTGTGACAATTGATCTTGCTCCGGTCGATCTGGTACTTCTTTGGGGACATGGCCAACATCGTATCGACTCAGTTTGGGCAAACGAGGTAAGTATTTGATAATTATTCATGTAAAGTTAATTAGCTAGTTAGATTAGATTATTTTAGTTGGTGAACTGAACTGTACTGAAATTAGAATAGAATTACGTATCAAATTGAAATTAGATAGATTAGAATTTGCCAGGTGAAATTAGAATTATTACGAATGAAATTGAATTAATATAAGTTTTGTGCACTATAGACTGGTGATACACCTTATCATGTTCGAGGTACGACCATGTTAGTCATGTACCATGAGCGTTATCATCCATATCTCAGAGCGGCTGGCTTGTCTAATGAGTTTCCCCTAGTCCCTATGAACTCTAATGCGAGTTTGATTACTGCGCTCGTAGAGCGGTGGCGATCCGATACGTCGACCTTCCATTTACCGTTTGGTTATGTCACGATCACGTTAGAGGACGTTGTGACACTGTCCGGTCTGGCAATCCACGGTAATGTTGTCGTAGTTGACATAACGGATGAGTGGCCGGCGATCTGTTTGAGACTGTTAGGACGGGCTCCAGATGATCTTTCAGGCGGTGTCGTTAGGATTTTTTGGCTGAGGGATGAATTCAGTCATCTGCCGTAAAATGCATCCCAGGAGGTTACAGAGCTGTTTGCACGAGCTTATGCTCTATCTCTGATGGGAGGTGTACTATTCCCGGATCGGTCTTGAGCTACGGTGCACCTACAGTACCTACTTCTGATTGAGGATTGGCAGAGAGCTGGACGGTTCACCTAGGAAGCAGCTGTTCTATCCTACTTGTACCGTGAGATGGGTAGGTCGGCTTTGCACATTACGCATTCCTCCACTTCTCTAGGTGGTGACCTTGGTGGATGGGTCGCACTACTGCAGCTCTGGGTGTGGGAGCGATTCCCACATCTGACAGGGCGACATTCAGAGACGATGGCGCAAATTGCCGAGGATGCATCTCACGTGGTCTTCGATGGATTCCGGCCAACACTCGTAAGTATGGTGACCAGCTATTCCCGTACAAGTTGTGGTTTGACGAGATGGAAACCATGGTGGTTAGTATATAACATTTCATTTTATAGAATAGTTTTCATTTGGTTAGTATATAACATTTCAACCCGGGTCCTAGATGTGATGACTACTCTGTGAGTTCTTATTATTTAGCAGTGAAACTTTAGTGAAGGCCCAAACAAGCAAACAAGCAAGCAAGTAAAAAGGTTGTTTTCAAGTAGAGAGAGGTCACCTGGATATGGTTCCCCCTAGACTGTAGTTAAGCCGGATTGTAATTTACCAAGTTCAATTTCAATGATAGTTATACTGAGGGAGATTCTTAAACAGTCTGCAGTCTCAACTAAAGGTCTCCACCCCCTTTCAATCTGAGTCTCCAGCGAGCGACTAACCTCCACCGGAGTAAACAGATTGAGGCCTGATAACGATGTAATTGCACATATTTGCACCCCTAGTTCTTATCCGTTTCAGGGGCATAGCCGTGTATTTTTGGCCTATTTTACGCCGGGTTGTGCTTAGAGGTGGCTATTTGGACCGGGACCGGATTAAAAACCGGAAACCGGACCGTATAACCCTAACCGAGACCGGACCGGGAACGGAGAGTAAACAATCCAATCCAATCTTTGGGATTAGATTTGAGGTAAAAAACCGGATAAAGACCGAATAAGAGAGCTCAACACCCAAAACTTAAGGGTAATTTGCATAAACGGTCACAAACCTTTGCACTTAGTACAAAACTTAACCAACTCCTCACCCTTTAAGGCCTTAGGCCACTCAAATCCCACAATCTCAATGTAAAATCAAGACCGAATTGGGACCGGACCGGATCAAAACCGGACTGGATCAAGACCAGGCTGTATCCAATCCAATCTTCGGTCCTTATATTTACTGGACCGGATCAATTTGGGCCAATTTAACCGGACCGGACCGTATAGCCACCCCTAGTTGTGCTACTTTGTCATATTTCAGGTCCCAGACGGCGAAGGAAAGGCTAAGCACGAGTTTCGGCGCATTCGGGAGTCATTCGGTCGAGCTGGAGCCAAAACACGGGCAAGCCTAAATCAGAACACGACCGTGTTCCTAGACCGTGCTTTTACTGCCGAGACTTGATCTGATTTTGGAAAACACTAGCTCAAAACACGGGCAGGACTGAGACAGAACACGACCGTGTCCACCAAAAGCACGCCCGTGTTTTCCCCAAAAGTCTGGTTGTGTATTTAACACTTGGCAAGGGCACGGGCGGGCTGGAGCAGAACACGGCCGTGCCCTCGACCGTGTTTTGCCCAGTGATGTCCTTTTAGGCAGATTTCAGCCAAAATAGAAGGGGATTCGAGTTTTAGAGAGACAGAGCGATTCCTAGAGAGAGAAAGCGACGAACAAGAGTTCCCAAGTGCCCTAGCTTGATCTTCATCACCATTGGAGCTTGGCTTGAGCTTGGAGAAGTGCCGATCAACGTCCAGGAGCAGAAATCCATCCTTCACAGTATGATTTCCGCGTCTGAATCTGCTTTTGCTTCTTTCTCCATGGAGTAGTTCTCCCATTCATCTGGGTATGGGAAACCCTAGATTTGTATGTTAGGTCTGATTGTATGAACCCAAGTACTGATTCTATGAGTTGATTATATTCAATTGAGGTTTGAATGACTGAATGGCATAAATCCTGATCAAATTCCTGTTGTTTCTGCTTTAACCTAGAATGAGAATATCTGCCTAGGTTGATAGAGCATCCTTGAGGTAGGGAGTTGGTGACTTTAGTCGAGGAGCCAACTCACTATTTTGTATCGAATTCACTTCGGTAGTGGAGGTTTTGTTCGTTAGGGCCTCAATCTGTTTACTCCGGTGGAGGTTAGTCGCCCGCTAGAGACTCAGATTGAGAGGGTCTGGAGACCTTTAGTCGAGACTTCAGACTGCTTAAGAACCTTCCGCAGTATAACTATCATAGAAACTGAACTTGGTAATTACAATCCGGCTTAACTGCAGTCTAGGGGGAACCATATCCGGGTGACCTCTCTTAACCTGAAAACAACCGTTTACTTGCTTTGTTTGTTTGTTAGTTTAGACCTGCACTAAAGTTTCATTGCTAGATAACAAGAATTCACTGAGTAGTAATCAAATCTAGGACCCGGTTTAACATTAAAACCCAAACCCGCTATACTACGCTTTAGGAAGTGGTTACACTTGGCCAATTTCTAGAGTGACAGTAGGAGTGAGTCAAGGCCCTAACAAACCAAACCCCCACTACCAAAGTAAATTCGGTACAGAATAGTGAATTGACTCCTCAACTAAAGTCGCCAATTCACTACCTTGAATCAAGGGTGCTCTATCAACCTAGGCAGATATTATCTTTCTAGGTCAAAGCAGAAACAACAGGAATTTGATCAGGATCATGCCATTCAACAAATCAAACCTCAATTGAATAAAATCATATCACAGAATCTGTACTTGGGTTCATACAATCAGACCTAACATACAAATCTAGGGTTCTTCATACCCAGGTGAATAAGAAAGTTACTCCATAGAGAGAGATGGGAAATCTAGCTCAGATGCGGAAACCATACTATGAAGGATGAGAATCTGCTTCTGGCACTCAATCAGGTCTTCTCCAAGCTCAAGCCGAGCTCCAATGGTGATGGAGATTAATCTATGACACTTGCAGGATCAGTTTCGTCACTTTATATCTCTAGGTATCGCTCTTTCTCTCTAAAACTCGGAACCCCTCTCTTTTGCCCTTCGTTTCCCTTAAGAAGCTGTCAGTCGCGATCCGCGGCCGGAATACCTGATCGGGTATTTTGGGTGGCGACCGGGCATTTTCAAACTGCAGCATCTGGAGACAGGGGAAAATCCCCAGTCAAGGCCAAGAATCCCCTACCGGGGATTTTAGTGTCACGACCTGGCCCCCCTCTGCTTCTCAGACGCCCAAAAATCCTTTTCCCCGATCTGCTCCAAATAATAACCGGCCGGGTATTTCTGCTCATGGTCGGGTATTTTGATCCTCTAGCACACTTCGACTCAAACGTGCCTCTTTCGACCCGAAACTCGTTTCTTCGCCTCGATGCCAACGCTAAGTCCTGAAATATGACATAAATGCACAACCTAGCGTGAAATCGGCTTAAAACACGAGAATCAACATCTCAAACGGCTCAAGAATAGGGGTAAAAACATGTGTAATTATTGGTCTATCAGACTCCCCCACACTAAACCGTTTGCTTGTCCCGCAAACCTAACTCAAACCAATGCAACTCTCCAGACCTCTATAGCAACAAACAACCCCGATCGTCGGTAGAGGATTTCCTAGATCATATAGCAGCTTACGAGGTCAACTGGTCTTCTAAGACGTTCCCTATCTCTCTCAATGCGAGTGCTAGACTCAAGCCAGGATCATGAGAAGAAGTAGAAGTAAGACAGTCAGTTCATGGATAAAGGGACTCATATCATTCACAACCAAGGACTTGTTGTACCGGGGTGCTCTTTCACTTCATTTCACCGTTGGAACCCTTTTTTACTTTCATTTCACTTTTTTTTTCCTTTTTCTTTCATTTGGAGGGGTTCCAACTGCTGTCTTTTGCACGGCCGACCCTTATTAGTCGAGCAAAAGCAATTTCTTTACATCTTGCGCTCGCCAGAGTACTTCTTTTAACTCCTTTTGCTCAACTCGTGTGGAGGGTCAATGAAATAAATGGGGGGTCGGAAGCTCTATCCGTGCCCTTAAAAACACATCCTCGAGTAGGCAAACTGTTATACTTGTACTAGAGACAGCTTAGCTTCACTTTGTAGGAGTACCCCACTAAGGATCACTAAAATCTCCTCCAAAACCCGATATTGTGCAATGAACGGTGCCACACACGTTGGGCTTACCCCCATGTTTAAGATTTAATGATTTTGACATGGAGGACCAACTGCATTTCATTTTTCATATGAGCACCCTGTTCGATACACGATGCCATAACACAATCCAAATAGAGTCGCCATTATCACATGAATTCAACGGTCCTAGCTCCACTAATTCACAAAATCAACTGGCACAACATAGAGCTAGATAGGAAAAATCTTATACTTCAACATCCTCCATAGTGTTACACTACCTCCCTAGGTTGCACATTACTATAGAGACTGCCAATTCAAAGCATACTGAGCAGGCAATTTGCAAGGAAACACGTACTTGGAGCCCTCAAAATTAAAAATTTGGACAGTGGACTAGGCTCCAAGCACACAAACAGCCAAACATTCACCCGCATACATAATCGAACATCCCCCCACACTTAAGCACGACATTGTCCTCAATGGAGGAAAGATAAGGAGGGTAGAACGAAGTTACGAGATCAAGGGTGAGTGATGGTGGACGGGGCAGGCGGTGCATTCCAGGAGGAGAGACTAGTCGGAACACAAACACCACACAAAATCTCACAAAGGTTGAGTTATTGACTCTAAAATCAAAGAACAAAACTGACTCAACCGAGGGGAAATAGAGAAAGAAATGCAAACCAACTGGTTGGGTTGCCTCCCAACAAGCGCTTATTTCACGTCGTGAGCCGGACGATAGCTCTTATGTTTCAGTCCACCCCAAAACCTCCTTGAAGTTGAGGTTCTCGTCGATGAGGTGGTGTCTCAAGTCACAAACATGTGGTATGGCAGGTGATGGAAGCTCGTGCACTTGATGCAGATAACGTCTCCACCCTCGAGACCTCTTCTTCTCTTCTCTCGTCTCATTGCCCCAAACCAGATATGAAAACATCGATTGACCACCATCGTGTCCACCAAGAGGGACCGATGTCGACGTGGCCTTGGTCTGGCAAAGAGACACTGCAAATGGGTCCTTGCTAAGTAGTTCCTCGAAGTTTGGTGGAGATATCACATGTAACTCATGGCCGGTGCATGCCTCTTCCACCTCAACTCCGTCCACAGCCTGAACGCCAATTGCTTCTTCAACCTCCCTTCCTTCTTCATGTGGTATCACCCCTAGGAAATGATCAAGAACTCCTTCTGCTTCACTTTTGTCATACTCCACAACTTCTTTCTGCATCCTTTCTCTCTCTTCTTCTAGCACGGATTGGAGAGCAAGTTGCCAAGCAATTTCTTTCATGAGATCTTCTTGCATCTCCTCACTCATGCCCGCCTCTTCAAAGCTCAGTTTGGGGTGTGGGAAGGTGTGGTCGGCTACGACAGGACATTCCTGATCATGATCATCACGGGAGCTCTTCGTGACAACTTCAGTGTGCTCCACCATGTCCTTGTGGACTTCTTCTTCCTCCACCTCTTCTAGTATGGTAGCAGAAGGGCGATCTAGAGCAGGTTGTGCATAAGATCGCTCAAGATCATCGACGCTCTTCTTAATGCTCAGGAGGATCTCCTCTGTTTCACGATAGGCCTGGGTACAAAGATCCATCCTGGACCATGATCTATCACTGTCTCGAGCAAACTGCTCCATGAGAAGCCTCAATTCATAGTTTGGATCTGGCTGTGGAGTGTAGCATGGCTCTGCATAATGGCCCGTGAAGGCAGCCATGGGTAACTCCAGCACCGATGGCCCTTCTGGTTGTGGGAGAAAGTCTTCTTGGTAAAGAGGTTGTTCTTGATATGCCCAAGGGTCTGATTGTTCTCCGTAGTAAGGGGGTTGGTACTGGAACCCGAATCCATAGTCTTCTCCTCCTTGATTGCTCCAGGGAGTCTCGGGGTAATACCACTCGGACGGTGGTGGATACCCCCAATGGTTGGAGAAGCCATGAGGATCCATGATCCAGATCTGCACCAACAAAAAACAAAAACACCCAAGTGAAAAGCAAGGGTGGAAAAGAAAAGAAAAACGCTAAAGTAACAAACTTCTGTCTTTCCTAATAATCTAGAAGGTCCCCGGCAACGGCGCCAAAAACTTGACACGCTACGACACAACACCTAACAATGGCCAAGTGTAACCAATGAAAGGGACTGCAGTATAGTGGTGCAAGTAATAAATATCGAATCCTCGGGTCTCTAGATGTACTATTACTCAGCTTCAGTTCATTATCTAGAAAATCAAATTAAGGATTGATTAACTAAACTACTCTACTAACTAAACTAAGTAAAACTACTAATTACAATTTGGGAACTCACTTAGGTATGATTCCCCCTAGCTCCTCAATTAGGTCCAAGTTGTAATTCCTTTTGGTTGTTTTACTGTTGATTAAACTGCGGAAGATCCTAAATTAGCTTGGAATCTCTTAAGCTGACCAAGCCCTCTTAGACAGAATACCCGACAGGCGACTAGCCTTCACCGGGATAGACTGATAAGGCAATTCACACAGATATCCACTACTGGAATGAATTCCAGTACAAAGTAGTGAATTGACTGACTCTCGCACAACCAATTCACTACTATCAATCAAGGAAGCTCTCTTAACCTAATTAGATTCTATCTATGAAAGGTTAAAGCAGAAATCAAGAGAATTTGATCAGGATTCAATTGAATCAATAAATCATGCCTCAATCGATTATAATCACACAATATAGCATCCAAAACTTCATACAATAAAGATCCAAACATATGGAACTAGGGTTCCTCAAAACCTAAGTGAAGGGAAGTTACTCCATAGAGAAGAGAGAGACTGCAGAAATCTGATCTAGATCTTCAATCTCCATCTCCAAGCTTGATTCTCGAGCTCCAATGGTTAAGAAATCCTCCAAAATAGCTCCAAGAATGGCTCTAGATCACCCTCTCTCTCTTTGGTTCGTCCCTTGGGTGTTTGGGATCCAAAACCCAGCTCCCTTTTTCCTTTGGCTCGAAATTGGGTTAAAACCCAGAATTTCCCGACCACACGGCCAGGCCACACGACCGTGTGAAATCCCCAGCTGCCCGTGTGGAAGTGCAAAACGCGGCGTTTCGATAAGTGGACTTCAGCCATCCTACACGGCCACAACCACACGGACGCGTGGATTTCCAGGCTGCCCGTGTGAGTTCCCTGGAATTTTCACACGGCCACATGGGTTCCCTTACACGGCCGTGTGGATTTTAGGCATGCCCGTGTGACTTCCTCAGCTTCTCGCCAAATGTCCGATCTCCGTCCAATCGACCCCGAACTCATTCCTAAACCTTCATTCACGTACTAGGACCTGAAATATCACAAACAAGAACAACCTAGTGTGAAATCGGCCTAAAACAAGAGAGATAAGACTCAAACGGTGTAAGAATGGTGGACAAAAACATGTGTATATATCAGTCATCAACCACGGATGGGGAACACAATGGAGACAAATATTGGATTATGTTGGTCTCATGTTGTTATTCATCATTAGAGGAGAGAGAAACGATGCTCTCACTCGAGAGTTCTTGCCCTCATTGACAGTGGAAGTAGTAGGGAGCTCGAGTGAGACAAGCATCTCCTATGATCCTATCAATTGGCGGGATGAATCTTCAAAGATAGTTATGATAGCTTCAACGAGAAGATAGGGATCTCGTACCATTATAGGGAGAGGAAACTCTCCTATGCTAGCTTTGGATCCTATTGAGAGCCCAAAACACAGGTTCCCATCTTCCAGGAGCTTTGGAAGAGGATTACAAGAGATCGCAAGGTCGTGTTCTTTGATAGCCATTCCTCACCAACCTTGATCAAGCTGTTCTCCATCAAGTTCATGCAATACTTTAGTCGAACAAATTTTAGCATGAGGCAGAAGGGTGATGGTGGGAAGGTGACCACCATTTATATGATTCTGTATCACTCTTTGATGCATCACTAGTGGCTTCATCCAACATGGTTCGTGGTAGACAATCTTCTGAGGTACACATCCATTGTTTATCTTGATGAATACCAGGAGGAGGCTATGTTCATACCATAGCCCAGTACATCGTCAATCATAGAGAGGAGTATGGCTTTGCTCTTTGGGATCCATTGGCAGTGCAGGTTCTATCTATCATCAACCAGCTTTCATCTTTGGAGTCGACAAAGTAAAAAGCAATGGAGTTGACCTCGCCAGGGCCAGTTGCCCAACATACTATGCATGGCATAAGGCAGGGAAACCATCAATGCGTTTAGAGAGGCTACCAGATCTTGGACATTGAGTTGGACATCCACCACCACCACTACCTCAATATGGCAACTTTGGTTCCCCTATGGCAGAAATAAAAAGTAGCCATAGAACGTATGAAAGAGAGCTTGATCAACTTCCAAACCATGAACGAGCGACATTGGGATGCCTTGGAGCATGGGAGACGGATGAAGCAAGAGGAGATTCTAGATTGAAACAAAAGACAAGAGGAGGCGCAACAATGGAGCCATTCGTGGATGGAGGACTTCAACAACTCATTCAGAGGCCTTCACCCAGGAGATTCGCCACCACTAGGAGGACCAAGCATATAGGAGATGGACTTTGAGGAAGCCTTTTGTGTATTTATCTTTTGTTTTTTCAAAACAATATGGAGACTAGTTACAAATGAGAATAAATTCATATTTTTTTGCGACATTCGAGGTTATTCGTTCCAACTTTACCACGACTCATTATCTTTTAGTACATTGAGGACACTGTTCATTGTAAAGTGTGGGATGGGAATGGCTAGTATGGTTTACCTTGTTATGCTTACTAGTTACTACATGCTATATCTTTAATAGTTAAAAAGTTGAAATATTTTTTATGCTAAAATGGTTGTGATATGTGCTTAAATTTTTTTGAAAGAACGAAGGATGTGTTTCCATCTAATGACTTTAGTCATCCCCTACAAGCACGATCACTTTTCATCTTACTTTGAATAATTGAGTCTAGTTATCATCACTTGATCTCTTCGAGTTTTGGAAGAGATACTAGTTTAGCTTTAGTGGCGTAGTCCTTCAAGATGATGCTAGTTCTTCACTAGTACAAGTAAAATTTTCACCCATCTAATTGAATGCTAACTTGAAGACGTGTTCTTAAAGGCACGGATAGAGCTTCCAACACCCCTTAATTTCATTGAACCTCCACTCGACTAATAAGGGTAAAGTTCAAAAAGACTCTCCACCATGGGAAAAACTAGAAAAATAAAAGAAAAGTCGGTTGAAAGAGGAAGAAAATTAAAAAATCATAAAAATATATCAAAGTTTGAATAAGACAAAGTGTGCTTTAAAGATATATCAAGTTGATGGTAGAAAGCATTCATAGCTTAAATGATTATCAAAAGCTTCACCCTTACGTTTTGAGAATTTGATGCATGATTGGTTGATGCTTGGAATATTTGGTATGATGTCCTTGCATAATGATGCGGTTAAGATTCTCTCATGATTGTTGACCTTGTAAGTTACTTATGATCCACTACCTAATATCAGGGTTAAGTGATGATGGCTAGAATTTATTGACTCGATATTCTCAGGGTCGAGGTAATATTTTCTGGAAGCAAGCTATGGCCAACGCGTTGGCTTCTCTTCATGCCAACCAAACGTGGGGAGTTGTTCTTCCTCCACTTCCCGATCAGCTAGTTGGGGGTAGTCGCTGGCTTTTCACTCTAAAGGTCAAGCGCGATGGGACATTAGACAGGTACAAGGCTTCGTTGGTTTCCCAAGAATTTACTCAAGAGTATGGGATTGACTTTAATGAGACTTTTGCTCATGTAGTGAAGAAGATTACCGTTCGTTCCCTCTTAGCAGTGGCCTCTATTCACAATGGCCTCTCTATCGGCTAGATGTAAAAAAAATGTCGTCATGCATGGTGATATACAAGCTAGTAAATAGAATTATTCCTATCATATCATGACTGTAAAACAATGGAATGAGCGATCTCAGATGTCATTCTTGCATCATGATGCCGAGAATCGTCTGCTCTCTCTTTTCCCGTGGGACACTTTCAAATGAGTAATGCTTACCATTCCATTATTCACACAAACCCTTTATGACTTATCGGTGTTTATATGGAGTCTCCATCAGGGGTACTCTTTGGGCACACGTGATTAGGTTTGTTTACTCCTCCGCTCTTTGTAGAACACGTGTAACACACAAATAATCTATAAAATAATATAAACATGAGTGATACCAGTCATGTGGACCCTAGTGTTGGGTTGCTAGAGCCCAAGTGTTTCACGAGATGGGCTTAGGCCCTCATCGAGCCATCTTCTACTTTCAAGGGAATGTTCCTGTTGAGAAGCAAACACACAATAGAGAATAGTAGGAGAGACACATGTACACAAGATGTTTTGTTAACCAAGTTTGACCTATTTCTTTACGTCTTGGCTCAAAGGTGGCTTACCCTTTGAGACCTAGTGTCTAGGTTCTTATTCTTATTCCAATCTAACTCCAAGTAGAGTCCCTTTGGGTGGAACTCATAACCTTGACAAGAATAGAGAAATATAATCATTTCTCTCTTCCTCACAAGAACTCACCCTAAAGAGAGAACCTACACAACCTCACAGTCACTCAAGCAATACAGACAGTGTACTCCTATCACTTTGACTCCTATTGTTAATCACAGAGTGTTGGATTTTGCTTTGTGTAGGATTACTCTGCCACATTTCGTGAGACTTATCTTGTTGCTTCCTCCTATTTATAGTTCCTTAATGCAAAGGTCTTCTCTTTGATCTTCACTTGATTTGGAAGATTATTTCTTGCAATCATATATTCACTGGCAAGCAATAATATAATTTTATATTTGCAGAAAGGGAAAGCTTTTGCCAACAATCTCCCTATAATTTTTTATTATGCAATTTCATGCTTTTGTGTATCCGTGATGGGAATATGAAGACTCCCCCTTAATATGTTATCTCCCTTAGATTGGAGATTTTCGCTTTCCGAGCTACTACTTATACACTAACGTAATCAGACTGAAACATATCACTTGAGAAGTTAAAAATACCAACAATAGTTTAGATTATCAAATATAAAGCAAGCAAGTTCTAAAATTTCTTGAGTGCTCAACCAACAGTTCCAAAGCAAAATTTTATTTTTGTCCAATTAGTTCATAATAAAAAATTATCAAAGTGCAAGGTTAAACCCTCTCTCATCACTTGACCATTAGTCACAATAATTTTGGTAGTTATAAGGAGTATATTGTGGTGAGTATGGATCGCTTCTATGTTAGGGGATGTTGGCGCACTAAACTCTGGATCACTTCTATCTGTTAGAAAGTCAGGCTTGCTATAGTCAGAATCTAGGTCGCTCTCACTCTGGTCAGTCAGGGAGGACCGCTCACTTGCTTTTGGCCCGTCATTGCTGCTCAACCAGACTACTTCAGGATCTTCTGCTTCAAGACCATTCTCCCCCTCAATCACAAGCTCCAAATCTTGGAAAACATCATTTGAAGTGGGAAACAACACATGAGTAATGGCTCGAAAGTATGAGAGATTAATCACAAGGTTAGGAAGAAAACCAGTTATCAGAGGCCCAAAAGGTGGTGGGGAATGATAACTGTATTCTCCAAAGGGCATCAGGGTTCCAAAGACAAGATGGGTAAAATGAAGATGAATAGAGGCTATGGCATGAGAGAGAATCCAGATATCTAAAGGTAGGATCATATCTAGGAAGAGTGCTCTGGAGAGGGAAGTGTGAATAAGGAAGTAGTGTAATAACCTTAAATTGAGTGGAAGAGTATAAGCTAGAATCATGAGAATACCATTAGACGGATGACCAGTAAGCTCAATGGCCTCATGATCAATGTTAGAGTCATGAGCTAAGGTATCTCCTCTACTAGGGATATTGAGAAGACATGTAGCTCATATATTGGAATGGTTATCATATGTCCATACACAATAGTAGTGAATCCATAAGAATGAAGGCCAACGGTTATGAGATTGGAGTAAAAATAACTTACAACTTCAAGACAGATTAGAGTAGGAGGCTCATCAATAAGAAAGTTCCAACCAAGATTATGAAGATATGGTTGGATATTGATCTCACGACTAACCAGATCAGTCAAGGATACTTGATGATGTGGTGGTTATTTCTATTTTGGAATATGATTGGTTGGATGAGAGTTTCAGAGAAAGAGGATCTTAGAGAAGAGCACATGTACATGTTTTAGAAAGGAGAACATCGTGATGAAAGGAGGGGTGGAGATCAATGCAGCTAAAAGCGCGATTCTACCTAGAAGCGAAAAATGGGTAAAATCGTAATATGTAGAATCAAAGCATAAAAGCGTAAGTTTTTTACGCACCCTCTAAAATAGCTAAAATATGTTAAGTACAACATATAGTATGTAAAATGTGAGTGTGTAGATTTTAGATAAGTGAATAACTACATGAAATTCATAATTAAAATGTAATATCTAACACATAAACTAATTTGTGTTGACTCAAAAGTAGAGAAAACTCATAACATCTTAATAATAAGCTCATAAATATAGATCGTAACCCGTAAACGAGTTTGAGAATCCAAATTCTCACAAGCTGGTTTGGGTTTACATAATTACATACGATCAATTACCTATAAACTTTTATCGTATTATCGTAACCAAGGTAAGAGCCACAGGTGAAGATTAAGGAAGAAGACTTATAGAAGGTCAACGACTGTTGAGAATACCATTAGGTGTCTTTTCAACCTAATGTGAAGCCTCAAACTCGACACTAGTTGTAGAACGGTTGATGAATCATGTTTTCCTTTTTTTTATTTTTTGCTGATATGTCTTCAAAATTACATCATTTTGGGCCAATTAGCACATTTTTATGAGAGGATCAAAATCGTATAAAAACGCTTCAGAATCGTAATTTTACCGATTTTAATCGACTTTACCGATTTTACCCATGTTTTTACATATTTTTGTGACTAAGCTACTTTAGGTAGAAACTGAAACGTTTTGGTGGCATGGATACGTAAAAACGTAAGTTTTTACGTTTTAATGCTCGATTTTGACTGCACTGGTGGAGATGATACCTAAAGTAAGCTCGATAGGGTTTTAAGTTGGGTTGTAGGCAAGCTTGTACTTAATGCTTATTTTTGGAATTTGTCATAAATGGGTAGGATGAATTAGTTACGGACTTCAAAATTGAAAGATTTTGACTGTTTCAACATTGATTTTGGAAAGTGACCCGTCATTACCATTAATTTATTAATGATTGATTGAATGTATGAAGCTCTATGATGTATGATTTGAAGATTGGTAATGAATTACGAAATAAAAGAATTTATTCACAAAAGGTAAAATTTCAAAATTGAGCAAGTTAGACAAAACTAGTTAGCCCTATATATTTCATAATGACAATCATGACCTATTGATTCGGGTCTAATTGTACATGTTTTGCCCCCGTTTTCCTTAGTCGTTTGTGGCAATTGTGCTCCTAAAAGGGTGGTTTTATGCTAGGTTTCTCGTGTTTTAGCGTGTTTCAGGATTTAACAGGTGAAACCAGCCCCGAAGTCGAAAGTTGGACGAAAAGGAGCAAAAACCGGGAGAAGAGGTGAAAAACGGCGAGTTCACAGTTTTCCTTTGATGTTCACAGTCTTGTATGACCGTGAAGAAGGCCGTTGGCCGTGAACATTGAGGCATCCAGGGCCAAAATGCAAGTTATTGACGCTAATTGAGTTCACGGTCTCTAAGACCGTGAACAAGAGTTGTTGGTCGTGAACCAGTGGAAGCAAAGCGGTGCGTTTTGGCACCCATCTAGAGTTCACGGACGCGTTTCAGAGTTCACGGCCATGAACTGAGCTCGTTCACTGTTTAAAAGCTGAGCTGAAAGGAAGAGAGAGGGGGGATCCCATTGTGTGAGAAAGCCTTCTTCTGATTTTTAGAGAGAGAAACACGAACCAAAGAAGAAGGAGGCTAGGGTTTTACTCTAAGGTGGAATTTGGGAAGATTCTCCTCAATAGAAGTTCAGCACAAGGGTCTAGAAGATTGGAAGCCTCCCTCAAGATGGTTTCTACCTCTTCTCCTTGTGTTTCTCCCATTCCTAGCATGGAGTAGATTTCTTTTCACTTGGGTGTTGTAAAACCCTAACTAGCTACCATGTAGTTTCTTTTATGTGAATTGAATGATTGTCATTGGGTATTGTTTAATTCAATGATTGAGGTATTATTCATGTGATTGTGCATGTTTGTGCTTAGCAATCTAAGGATTGTGCATGTTTTGTGCTTAGCATCCTTAGGTTTGTGCATGTTGGTGCTTAGCAACCCAAGGATTGTGCATAATTGTGCTTAGCATCCTTAGATATTTGTGCATGTTGGTGCTTAGCAATCTAATTAGCCACTTTAACCTAGATTAGAGAGGAAAATCCCTCATCCAAGGGAGACTCAATCGAGTTGGTTTTCCTTTAGATTTTCAAGCCACTTAATTGGGTTAATTTAGGGCAAACCTCAATGTTGAATTAAGCAAATTGGTTAAGCGCGATTAAGCTGTCCAACCCTTGAGTTGAGTGAGCGAGTAAGTCAACCACCGATTGCCTAAACTGAGAGGGCCGAGTGACACGGCCTATAATGTATACCTCGGTTTAGCAATCGAGAATGCGGTTCGCGGTTACCTTGCCCTTAACAACCGTTTCAATTCACATACCATGGTAGTAGTTGGGGGAAGCGACAAGGCTTGTTAATGATCCGAGCCGATCCGAACTTTGACAGGGTTCTGGCTCGGCCCGTTAAAATATTTTAAAGCTCGAGCTCGTCTCGATTTCGTCACGAGCTTTAATAATCAAGCTCGAGCTCGGCTCGTTTATGAAAATGAAAGTTCGAGCTCGAGCCTGATCCGAGGCTGAATCAATCATCAGAAGAAGAATTAGGCCAAAAATTAGGATACATTCTGTGAAAATAAAACTTCCATCAAAGAGAAGCAAATGAAAGGCTTTCATAAAAATTCTCGTAGAATCGAGAATGAAGTTTTCAAATAAATCGATATTTCTGCTGAAATCTTCTTGCTCCTAATTTGTTATTCTATTTATAGGACTAAATTACTATTCTCTTCTTCTACATAAAAGTTTCTTAGAAGTCACATTATAAGACATATAAGATAAAAGATATTTGAAATATCTTTTTTTTATTATAGAACACAAGCTCAAGAGCAATCGAAAGGATTCTGGAGCATCTTCCGGTTTAGGCACTGCTCCTCCAATGATCCTGGAGCATCTTCCGGTTTAGGCACTGCTCCTCCAATGATCCTGGAGCATCTTCCGGTTTAGGCACTGCTCCTCCAATGATCGTAGTACCAAGAACTTCTTGGCGAGCTCTAATATGATCCGATTTATAAAAAAGCATCTCTTGTAAAAAAAAAATTAGCAAAATTAGCATAAAAGAGAGAGTTTTTTTAATAGAGTTCTCGGCTCGTCAAATGAGCCCAATGACGAACTCGTCAAACCCTAATCATCTGTGGCCCCAGCCCCAGTCGCCACTTCTCAAAATTTCCTCAAAAATCCTTCCTCCCTGCCTCGCTACCCGTTCCCTTCAGCCGCTAACTCAATGTTATGCGCCCTTCGGGGAATACGACGACAAGACGAAGCGGCGAGGGAAGCTTAGATCGACGACGGTGGAAGTGCGGCAGCGGCGGTGGCCTGGAGGTCGCTCTTCATAGCCGACGACTCCGGCGTTGTGTCTGAAAGCCAGACGAGATCCTCTTTCTCTCGGCCATGCCTTCCAACGGTTGCTCCTTCAAGATCATCACACTTTGGATTTGGGACTCTGATGGTGGAGGATGTCCATGCTGCCTCTCCCAGCAGCTGAAAGAACCCAGCACTGCCACCTCTCTAATTCCAATCGGATCTGCTCCTTCCTTCCATTTTCTCTCAGCGAAGGCGAACAACAGACACCACCAATGAGAAGAGGAGGAGAAGCGGATTCGTCAAAATACCCTTTTCTTTGGCAATTATTGTTGAATCGATCCGAAGCGGCGGTTGTAGAGCATCAAAGCAGCTTGCTCATATGGATAAGATCTCTCATTCGCTTCTCACCAGTCACCTCCACTAGCCTGCTCACCTCATTTTGATTTACTTTGTGATAAAGACAAGAAGAAAGAAGGAATTGAGAAGAAAGAAAAGACAGAAGAAAGGTCGCAGAAGCAACCAAGCAGTAGGGAGTAGGGATGGCAACCAAACCCGAACCCACGGGTACCCACCCGACCCAATCAGGTCAACGCGGGTAAAATCCGTGTTGACGGGTTTTGGGTTGGGTTTGGGTTTAAACCCGTTCACTATTCATCGGGTTGGGTTGGGTTTGGGTTTAGGTAGACCCGACCCGTGGGTACCCGCCCACACATATAATTAATTTTCTCGGTATATTTAATATTTTAAACAACTAATCTTATTTATGTTTGTGGAGACATGTCTAATTTTTTCTTTCTAATTGTGTAGAATGAAGTTTGTGTTATCGAGTGGAGAATGAAGAAACTTAATTGAAAGGAAGAAGCCTTCAATTAATATGTTATTTATGGATAATTTATGATTTATTTCAATTTTCTCGAGTTTTCTAGATTGGTGTTGAACAATTTGTATAGTTAATTTGTGATTTGTTTGAATTTTCTAGAATGGTGTTTTAAATATGGATAATTTGTATTGAGAGATTGATATTTGACTTTAATTTTGATAGGAACATGTTATTGTAAATTTTTTACGACAAAAACCGGTGGGTACCCATGAACCCGCGGATACCCAGCGGGTTGGGTTGGGTTTGAGTTTTTCAAACCCAGTGGGTTTTACCCCGGGTTTTTTACGGATAAACCCATGGGTTTGGGTTTGGCAAAACCCGACCCAACCCGACCCATTGCCATCCCTAGTAGGGAGAAGGAAGGAGAGAAAAGAGAGAAGAGAGAGTAAAGTTGATTTTTTTAAGGGTGGTGGAGTGGAGAAAGCAAACCATTATACGAGCTTGTTCGCGAGCCTTTGAGCTGAACATGAAATGGTTCGAGTTCAGCTTGTTTAATTGACGAGCTTATTCGCCAGCCGGCTCAATTAAGACGAGTCGAGTATCGAATGAGTTTTTATCGAGTTGAACGCCGAGTTGTTCATGAGTGGCTTGGTTCATTAACAGCCCTAGAAGCGACACCCGAGTGATCCTTCTCACAAAGAGATTTCAAAACCATTTACCTTTGCCTTATTTTATTTTAATTAGCAAACTTTTCAACCAAAACTCTGTTTCTAGATAATGATTCAAATGACTGAAGTAGGGGTACACGGACGGGCTCATGTTGATATTTAAACATACTTATCCTGTACTGCACCCTGCTAAGGTTTATACTTGGGACTTAGGTGGGAATTTATTGTGGTATTCGGGACGAGTCACCTAAACTCAGTCTTCACTTCTGCTCCTCCTCACGCAATGCTCCTTTGATTCTTTTTTCAATTCGATATCTGAATTCTTTCGAGATCTCTGATGTTGTGAGCTGAAGAATGTCTTGGGTTTCACTCACTCATTTGCGCAGCACCATCCAATGATCGTGGTTCCTATGTGTCATGTGTGCTAATAGGCACTAGTATGATCCAGGATCTCATACATAGGAGCAATGCTAAATTGGCGTTCTGCAGCAAACCGACTGTTTAGATCCATTCAAGCAGCTTGGAGGAATTGGGTTAGGAAAGTGGCATAGGAAAGTTTCACATTTCGAGTTTCCTCATTTTTAGTGATCCTGACCATGTGGACACACATTAAATAGGCCAGATTCAATGGCTTCTTTTCATGAGAACAGTTCTGAATCAAGAGATCAAGGAGTTGAAGCTAGGTGTGACTTCGAGCTCGGAGGAGAAAGAAGTGAGTGGTCAGCCAGTTAAAACTGTGAGAGGATCAAGCAAGTCCACAACTTTGAGTGATCCCCTTGTAATCTTCCTCATTTCTTCATCAAAGTGAAATTCATGAGATTTCAACACACTTTCACTTTGAAGAGTCAGATATTGGGAGGAAAGATTCAACTTCTCAACGAAGAACTCTGCTTTGAAGTGGTATTCTGGGAAGAAAAAAACCGAATATTACTCATTTTCGTTGATCGCCATTCACTATTGCTTAATTGCCTTTTAGCAAGGCCTCGTTAGTGAAGTACAATTAAGCTAGCAAGCTGACCGAAAGGGTGATTAACGTATGTTGATGGCATTGCATCCCCTCTTGCACGTTACTCATATCCTTTGCAAGTTAGCATGCTACTTGTATTTTCGAATTTGTATCTGAGATTGTAAGGTATTATCATATGCCATCGAATATCATAAAAAAGTTTGGCACAATTCTCAAATCCTGAAATACCTGGATAGTAGATAATCGGTTCAATAATAATAAAGTTGTCAGTAAATGTAAAAAAATGATTACTTTGTATACAATTCAAGGAGTAGATTCCGACTTCAATAAAACTAAGTTGTCAAACAAAATTAATTTATGGGATAGATTTTAAAAAGTATTTAGTGCTCATTTCGGCCAACTCTCGATCATCTTTCTTTGGCCGAGTAGCCATTATGTTTGACTATGGATGCAAATGGAGGGGTGTAAAGTTTGGGGGTAAATATCATTTCCAATGCATTTACCTCCATTTGGTTAATTTGCAATAGTAGTAGGGGAGAGCAAGTGAGGGATACATTCACTATTCCCCTTTACCCCAATTTGGGGAGCAAGAAGAGAGAGAAAGAAGGAGGAAGAGGTGAGTGTGTGAAATTAATGTTAAAATTATTATAATATTTATTAGAGCTAATACCACTACAACACTCAAACTATCCGGAAAATGCAACTTGTGTCCTATTGTTTCCAATATTCCATTCATGTCATGAACTATTATATTTTGTGCCATTTGTATCCTGCCAATATCGTTGACCATTAAAGATAACAGCTGACCAAACGGCGGTCAACTTAACATTGACTTTTGCTTACGTGGCAATGCCAAGTCATTGATACCTCACATTTTTAATTTAAATTAAATAAAACTTTGAAAATAAAAAATTGAAAAAACTTTAAATTCAAGAATATTTTTTAACCTAAAATTAATATTATTTTTGGGTTAATACCACTACAACAACCGAACTATGAGAAAAATGTCACTTGTGTCCTATTCTTTTCGATATTCCATTTGTATCCTAAACTATTATTCTGTTAGTGTTGACTGGTGTTGACCGTTAGTATTTAACAGAAAGTCCAGTCAGCATCTACGTGGCATTTGACATGGAATTTTTATAAAAAAAATTATAAAATAAAAACAAAACTCCTAGTTCAGTGTTATGGGTTCATCAATTTTTTCCATCTCCATTGACGACCGAACCACAATCTCTACCCTCGATATTGAAATTCCTATAGCACCCACCAGAAACTCTCTCCATAGTTCTTCCGCTTAATGCCCCCAGCGAGTGATAAATCTCCAGATCGTCACAAGTGGCCAGCCTTCTTAAAGCCAGATCTGTCCAACATCGTTGGCGGAGTAGCACCAGGGGCGTAACGGTAGGATCGAGATCTGGAGAAAATCATGAAGGAGGACATAAAAAGGGACAGTGCTTTTGCGAATCCTAACACGCAGTATACGTCGCTTTTGTCCGCTTCTGGAGCTGGAGAGAGAAAATGGAATGCTATCTAGGGATGGCAATGGGTCGGGTTGGGTCGGGTTTTGCCAAACCCAAACCCATGGGTTTATCCGTGAAAAAAAACTCGGGGTAAAACCCACTTGGTTTGAAAAACTCAAACCCAACCCAACCCGCTGGGTACCCACGGGTTTTTGTCGTAAAAAATTTACAATAACATGTTCCTATCAAAATTAAAGTCAAATATCAATCTCTCAATACAAATTATCCATATTTAAAACACTATTCTAGAAAATTCAAGCAAATCACAAATTAACTATACAAATTGTTCAACGCAATCTAGAAAACTCAAGAAAATTGAAGTAAATCATAAATTATCCATAAATAACATATTAATTGAAGGCTTCTTCCTTTCAATTAAGTTTCTTCACTCTCCACTCGATAACACAAACTTCATTCTACACAATTAGAAAGAAAAAATTAGACATGTCTCCACAAACATAAATAATATTAGTTGTTTAAAATATTAAATATACCGAAAAAATTAATTATATGTGTGGGCGGGTACCCACGGGTCGGGTTTACCTAAACCCAAACCCAACCCGGTGGTGAACGGGTTTAAACCCAAAACCCGTCAACACGAATTTTACCCGCGTTAACCGGGTTGGGTCGGGTGGGTACCCGTGGGTTCGGGTTTGGTTGCCATCCCTAATGCTATCGATACCTTCCTCTTTCTTATCCTCATCAATTCTCCGCGCAGAGAGATTGAGAACCACCATCTCACCCGCACGTTGTCCCTGCTCAAATCTCCGAACCAGAACGAGAAACCCAAAACGTCGACCCTCCTCAAATATCCGAAGAAAATGTGCATTCAATCCAACGTTGCTGGTGAGGAGATCCGCTGCGAGAGAGAGGGAGAAAGAAGGAAGGGACATCAGATCCGCCTCTGATAGTTGTGGGATTAGGTTCTCTGGTTCAACAGGGACGTATACGCCGTCTCGAAATTATTCTCATCCTCCACAATCGCTGCAGAACAAGAGATCGATTCATCCGCCAGAGGGATAAATCCATCCATCACACTACAAGATTCGTTCTCTAGATTGATAGTCTTATATTCCTAGTACCTACTTTCACTTGATTCGTCGATTCAAATTCCTTCTTCGCTCGTCTCCGTCACAAGCTATTGCCCAGTTGGAGAAAGCTAAGGTCGAAGGAGTGTGATGTCGTGGCCTGGCCTGTTGTGATGCATACAGGGGAATGGTGAATACAGGGGAGCGGTTACCATGTTCATTTAGATCGTTCATTGGATTGTAGGGTTTTGTGTAATGGCGGAGTACGATGGAAGGTTGGGGGAAGAAGAGGTTCCTTCTGTGTAATTGGGATCCCAGATTCAGGCCACCCAATTTAGTTTGTTTTATTTTATTATTCTCTTAATTTAATTTGAATTAAAAATATGAGGAATCAATGACGTGGCGCGTATGTGGCAGCCATATTATTGCCATGTCAATAAAAGTCAACTTTACTTTGACCACCCTTTGGTCAACCGTTATCTCTAACGGTCAACAAAATCGTCAGGATACAAATGACACAAAGTATCATACTTTAGGACATGAATGGAATATTTGATACATAAGACACAAGTGACATTTTTTCGATAGTTCGGGTGTTGTAGTGGCTTTAGTCCATTAATTTTTAACCTAATCTCTTCTCTACTCTCCGCCTCCGTTCTTCCTCTTATCTCGACTGCAAAATGTGCCTCCTCCCCACCGCTAGAACAATCTCCACCGGGATCTGAAGATAAGCGGGTGGAAGAGCCGCCACCGGAGCCACTACTGCAAACAATGTTCCGCCAGCTCGACCTTCGTTTTCAATCCCTAATTTCGAGTTTGGGGATCTGGACGGGATTGGCGGCAGGGAGAATTACAACTCGCCGGGACCTGCAGCTGGAGAAAGGAGATGTGAATCGTGACTCTGGCAAAATCCGTCTCCAGATCCTTTTCCATCGTTGCCTCCTACTGGCGAATCTAAGCTCAAAGAGACGAGCCTTCCATTGACCGGGGACGAATCCGTCACTTAATCCATCGCTCTTCCATCGCGAGTCAGCCGCCTCCTTTCCTCCCCGCTTCCGTCGTCGCGGCAGCAGAAATCAACCACAACTTCGAAGAGCTTCGTTCCAAACCAGAAACTCTGGGAAAGGCGCGACCTAGAAGGCGATGTTCAGCACAAATCCGCCAACTCCGATTCCCAAACGAAGCCACCTACGGGGACTCCTCTCTCTTCATCGTCTTCATCATTGCCGATTTCCCTCTCTCTCGCATCCTCTCCAGCCACTACAACGGATTTTTCTTCAGAAGTTGCAGAGGAAGAAAGTGAATTGATTTGAGTTATTGTTTTATTTTTGTAATTTTCCATAATATTTATTTTTTCTTATTTTAATTATTTTAGATGGAAAAATAAATGAAAATTTCACGTCAGATGGCACGTCAACGCTGACTGGATTTTCTGTTAAATACTAACGGTCAGCGCCGGTCAACACTAACAGAATAATAGTTTAGGACACAGATGGAATATTGAAAACAATAGGACATAAGTGGCATTTTTCGGATAATTCGGGTGTTGTAGTGATATTATCCCTATTTATTATTATATTTAAATATTTATATTTTGAATAAAAAGATATGTACATGATGATTGTTATAATTAAGATAGTTAGAAAGATTATTATTACTATTGAATCATAATTCATACTTTTTATTATTTTTATTATTATAATAGTCATTAATGTAGAATTTGTCTGTGGATCGCAAGTTTGTCAAATTGGCTCCAATTGTTGAAAGTGTTTGACGAAGTTTGACTCAAATTTGTGTTAGAAAGTATAAAGAGAGTGTCATGGAAAAAGTAGAACATGGAAATGTTTGGTTGACTAAGGTCAATTTGGTTGACTTAGGTCAATTTGGTTAACTCAAATTTGCATTGAAAATGTATAGAAGAAGTATCATGTAAATATCGAAGAAAAATGGATCGATTTGACATTTGTATCGGACCAAATACGACCGAATGCAATAATGATCCAATCCTTGATCCTAAGATGTCTATCGCTATTGGACCACATTTCTCATGAGTTTGGACCGATCCAAACCAAATCAAACCAAACTGTTGCACACCCCGACTTAGTTCGTCTAGTCATATCGAGATCACCATATCGACAAACCAACGCTCGAGTGGGAGACATGAGCTAGTTATATGTCGTAGCCATAGGTTGGGCTTCGAGCTTCAAAATTGCTCGATCAATGATTTTTATAATAAATTACTATTTAAGCATTATTGTCTTAATAATTATTTTTATTAAATTATATTTGTTAATATTTATGATAATTTAATATAATAGTTTTATTTTATTATTTTATGATAATCTTTTATAAATTTCATACGTCTATATTATAATAATAATATAATTTTCTTACTTTTCACTATATTTGCATCCCCTACCTTTCCATCCAAACAACAATTTACCCCTCCACTTACACCCTCCACCAATTTGCCCCCTTGCATTTTGATAATCGGCTTTAATATATCTGATTCTTGAACTTTATGTGACTATCCCATGATATATGTAAGCCAATTGGTGCTATTTTAGGGCTCGCTAACCCGGGAATGGTTGAAAGACCATTACTGCCTAGTGCCATGAGTTTGATATGTTACAAGTGGAGAAAGCACGAAAAAGAAGCGAGTGCACAAGCAATCAATCGGGCTCGAATCACTGGTGGAATACTCACTTGGGCCAGGAAGAGTTTTGTCATCTTTTGGGGGAATTATTTTTGGGCCAGAGACTATTATTTGGGAGAGTTCAACGTGGGCAAAGAGTGGCTAATTATTGGGACGATACAAAATTCTCTAGGGAGGAATTATTTGGACGGGGACAATTAATTAGTGAAAGGGGAAATTAACGGAAAGAGGAGAAGGGTTGCATTGGGAAAAGCTTTGGATGGAATAATAGAGAGGAAAAAGAAGCAGCTGGCTAAGGGAAGGAATTCTTTGGACACAAAAAGAATTGGGGAGGAGGGCAATTTTTTGGACGCAAGAAAGCTGGGGGAGAATTCTTTTGGAGAGCTTCTTTTGGCGGCTATTATTTTCCAGGGGTGCGGAATAATTGGAGAGAAAAGGGACCGAGAAGTGGCAGCGCGAAAGGGAGAAGCAGCACAGCTCGGAGCAGTTGGGGAACGCAACCAGCGAACAAAATTTGTTCCAAGAGCTGGGCGATAGCGAGGGTTTGACCAGCATCGCAGCTTGATTTATCGAATATTTTTGTTCCTTCTCTTTTCATTAGTTTTATGAGGATAATGAACATGGTTATATCTTTTGATTTCATCATGAACTAAACCCCAATTTCAGGGGGAAACACCATAGGATGTAGCTATTTCTTGACTTGATGGATTGATTCGTATTTCTTTTCTTCGAATCTCTATTGCATGAAATTACTTAATGTTTTGTGTTGACTGGCCACCAATACATTAATTTGTTGTTAATTAGGTTATTAGGGACAGTGAAACCCTAATAACTGAACCTATTTCATGTGACATAGTAACTTATCGAAGCGACAGTGGATTAAATAAGGTGCTATGCGGTCTTGATTAGGATATCGATCTTCAGGCTAAATAATTAAGTCATTGAGCTACGAGAGTAGGATTTGATTTAATTGTTTAGTACGTAGTAATTCCCGACAGGGATAGCTAGCACAGTAGTGATATCCTGGCTGTAGAGATATGGATTAAATTGATTGGAATATGTGAATTAATTTGGATATGATATAGGTAGTGAGTTCCGGTGTTTCTCCTAGAGCTTTCTCCCATTGAATTTCTCACGACAAGTTTACTTTGCTTATTTTGTTTAATCATTTTTCCATTAGATAATAGTTTCATCACTCAAACCATTTTCACCTATAGTTTTCTCCATAGAATTGATAGAATATAAAGTTGTACCAGTCCCTGAGAGACGATACCGGGACTTTCCGGTTTACTACAAGATAGGAATTGAAGCAATACGCTTTTGCCCTATCAAGTTTTTGGCGCCATTGCCAGGGACTGCCATACCTTATTTTTGTTGATTTTTGTGAGTGAAATATTTTGATATGGGTGTTAGTGTGCAGGTGAATTTTTTAGGTGTATCCTCCTCGTGCATGCCAAGGAGGGCGACCGACAATTTACTGCCACTTGATCCAGAGATAGAGAGGACCTGCCGACAGAACAGGAAGCAGGTCAAGTTAGGGAAGCAGCCTACCACAACCACAAATCCTAGCTCTTCCCTTACCAAGAATCGTCAAACAGAGAGGGCAGGCTTCATCACCCGTCGTCCTTACACCACCGACACCACCACCTCATGACATTGAGCCAGACATCATGGCAGACGAGGATCGATCAATCAGGGCTCGTTTGAATCGACGGACTGGAGCTCGAGCTTCATGTGTTGTCATTCCGGCTGGGGATGCAACCATGGAGATTACCCTAGCATTTATCAACATGATCACCAATGGATATACTTTCTCCGGGGCTAGCAATGAGGATCCTCACGAGCATCTCCGCCGGTTCGCGAGCATATGTGATACGATGAAGAGCCCAACTATGTCTGATGATGCAATTCGTCTTCGGATGTTCTCATTCTCTCTGATAGGGAATGCATCACACTGGTTTCAGAACTTAACACCACGTTCCATCACGACATGGGCTCAGCTTGAGAAGGTCTTTCTGGATAAATACTTCCCACCTGCCTTGGCAATGAAGAGGCAAGAAGAGATTGTTACTTTTAAGCAGGCTGATGATGGAGTCTGACTGAGGCATGGGAGCGCTATAAGGGGCTATTAATGAGATGCCCAAGCCATGGTCTTGAAGATTGGAACGTGATCATTATTTTCTTCAATGGAATCAGAAGGGAGTTTCGGGATGCCCTAAATAATGCTTCTCGAAATGGTTTCACAAGGATGGAGGCTCCAGCAGCATATGAACTCATAGAGAAGATCTGTTCAGAAGCCATTGAATGGGATAGTGAGACCAGTATTCAAAGAAGAGGAGGCTTGCATGAGATAAACAGAGTTGCGAGTCTAGAAACCAAGATAGATGCTAAACTGGATTCTAAGTTTGATGCACTCGAACGAAGGCTGGCCAAGATTTCTCTGGGTAGACAAGAGGAGGTTGTTTCATGTGAACTTTGAGAGGGTCCTCATCATAGGGATATGTGTCCACTAGGAGCTGCTCAGTTGGAAGATGTCCAATATATCAATAATTCGCGAAGTCAAGGCCAGGGTGGTATGTATTTAAATACATACAACCCTCAATGGAGACATCACCTCAATATGTCATGGTCAAAAAATAATCCAGCTGGTGTTCGAAACATCCCACCTCCTGGTTTTCAACAGCAGTAGCCTCAACCAGAGAAGAAGCCCCAGCTGGAGGAGTTGATTTTGGCTCATATGCAGAAAGCAGACAATAACTTAAAGGGTCTTGATCAATTTGTCACTCAACATCTAGCCATCAACAATAATATGCAATCATCTATGCTAGCTATGGAGAGACAAATAGGCCAGATGGCTCAAACTTTGGCAGATATTCAAGGTAGGATTCCTGGGACTTTACCGCCAAATACCGAGAGGAATCCGAAGGATGCCATGGTTGTAGCTGTCACATTGAGAAGTGGAAAGGCCTTGGAGGATCCAGAGAGTTCGAGGAAGTCAACAAAATCAGAAAAATGAGTTACAAAGGCAGAGGAAGAAAGTGCAAAAGCTGAAAAATCTGACTTACACAGGCAAACTGCATGCAATCTGCCTGTGCATGAGCATTCTGCCTGTGCAACTCCAAAAGTGGAAAAATTGAAGAACAAAGAGGTAAAGCCTTATGAACCTCCCGCACCATTCCCTCAAAGGTTAATGAAGCCCATGGAAGACCCAAACTTCAAGAAATTTGTGAATCTCTTCAAGCAACTTCATATCAACATACCGTTGGCGGAGGCACTTGAACAGATGCCTACATATGCTAAATTCTTAAGGGAGTTGCTGACTAAGAAGCACAAATGGGCTGATCAAGAGAAGGTAACCCTTACTTTTGAATGTAGTGCTGTGATTCAGAATAAATTACCAGAAAAGAGGGATGATCCGGGCAGCTTCACCATTCCATGTGTCATTAGAGGTACAGAGTTCGATAAATCACTTTGTGATCTTGGAGTAGGAATTAATTTCATGCCATACTCAGTCTACAAGAAATTGGGATTGGGAGATGTTCTTAAGCCTACTCGGATCACTCTCCAATTGGCCGATCGATCAGTGAAAATTCCAAAGGGAGTGGTGGAGAATGTATTGGTGAAGGTGGGGAAGTTTATTCTCCCAACAGATTTTTTGATTCTGGAGATGGAAGAAGATCGTGGAGTGCCTCTCATTCTTGGTAGACCTTTTCTAGCAACTGGTGATGCACTCATCGATGTTGGGAGTGGCAAGTTGACATTCCGAGTAGGTAAAGAGGAGGAAATTTTTAATGTCTTTCAAGTTGATCATAATCACGATGCATTTGATGACCTTGAAAGTGGAGCTCGAGAAAGGAAAAATTCATCTTCCTGTGATAGTGGATCAACTGAAGTATCACATGTCCTAGCAGCTCAAAGTCTGAAATTAAAGCATGGGCAGAAATCCTTGCCAGGTCACCTTAAGTATATATATTTGGGTAAGGATTTAAATCTTCTTGTTATTATTCCTTCTTCACTGACATTGAAACAGTAAGAGTACTTGCTTGAGGCACTGCAATACCACCTACGCCTCACTAAAGGATCCAACATGCAAGCTAAGAAGATCATACCCAATTTTCGCACACCTGGCCCTGCAGAGGTGACTCATATGTTGGATGGAGGGTATGCGTTCTATCATTGCCCGGGAGGGTATTCTGGATACCTTTCCATACCCATTGGTTGAAAGCTCTATGAACGTCAGGCTGAGGACGTTAAACAAGCGCTTCTTGGGAGGCAACCCAAGGTAAGTTTTCTTTTCTTTATTTTTCTTTTTCGTTGTGTCAAACCCGTGCATGTTTTAGATTAGGAGTTGAACATTAGGGACAATGTTCCATCCTGAGTGTGGGGTGGTGAGTCTTAGTGTTTGTTTGTCCCTACTGCATGTGGTTTAAAAAAAAATCTGTCATTTGGCTATGCATCGCCAAACTGCATGCAATTTGCCTGTGTTGGTGCAGTCTGCCTGTGCAAAGCTAATGGCTAAAACACACCTAAAATTCAGAAAAATTAAAAACAAAACCTTGTACTCTTGTGGTAACATGATGTAAATGACTGTGATGCGTGTGAAATGAGTTTGTGCTTGAATGAAATCATCGAAATCACCCCACTAGTGTTGAATTGCATAGTTCTTCACAATGAGCTTGATAGTTTGACTGACTGGATATGCTTTGAATGAGCAAACTCTTTTAGAAACATTCTCTTTTGTGAGGATAGTGTAATGACTTTTGGTGAAGTAGTTAGGTGGAGAACATTGACCATTCGACATGTTTGGATACTGTGCTTACTTGCATCTGTTGTGATCTTTTGACTTTGCATTGAGTCTCTCTGTTTTAAAAGGTTTTATAATGGGGTGAACTGTATCTTTATAAGTGAGAAAATCCTACATGACAAGTAAAATATAAGAAATTTGCCATAACAATTAAAGTGTGGGTAAAAATGCTAAAATCGTGTGAGGCAATCACTCATTGCACAGAGGGATTAGGAAAGGTTCAATTGAGAATCTTTTCGCGACCTTACGATGTTGCTTATCAAGTACGATCCCCAGTTGAGTGAAGTGCCATTAGAGGATATGCAATGACCCTCCACATGGACCGAGGAAAAGGAGTTAAAAGAAGCCCTTATGCGAGTGCTAAGAAGCAGAAATTGCTCTTGCTCGGTCACCGGTAGTAAGAAACAAATCCCACTTGTACTAAATACGACCACTCGGCAAGCAAAATCAGAAAGAGAGAAAGCCTCTCCTTGTCAGAAAGGTAGTGATGTGCTTAAAGTTAAAACCAAGTTTGCTAAAAGCTTCCCCCATTAGTTTTTGAGACTCAAGCCTAGTTAATTGCTTATGATTGACGTGAGTAGGCCAAATTGTCCTTACGAGATATGCACCTCACTGATGTGGTCAGATTCTCCTAATAACTGTTGCACATAAGTTGTTCATCACTCACTACCGACGATCAAAATTGAGTGTTACGAATTGAGTTTTTGATGGATTTGAGTCAGTCAATGGTTAATGGTTGCAAAGACCTTGAGTGTGGGGTGAAAGGTATGATCATTAAAGCACAACTTGTTCTTGGAGAAAGAAACTACTGATTACAACAAGAGTACAAGAAAATTTTGTGTTTTGTTTTGAGTGTTTGAGTGTTGAGTCTGTAATGTGTCATTGTTATAGATTGTTAGGTTTGTGTGTCTTTTGAGTCGATGCTTAGGGACAAGCAACAATTGAGTATGGGGTTGTGATAATCGGCTTTAATATATCCAATTCTCGAACTTTATGTGAATATCCCATGATATGTGTAAGCCAATTGGTGCGATTTTAGGGCTCGTTAACCCGGGAATGGTTGAAAGAACATTACTGCCTAGTGCCATGAGTTTGATATGTTACAGATGGAGAAAGCACGAAAAAGAAGCGAGTGCACAAGCAATCAATCGGGCTCGAATCACTGGTGGAATACTCACTTGGGCCAGGAAGAGTTTTGTCATCTTTTGGGGGAATTATTTTTGGGCCAGAGACTATTATTTGGGAGAGTTCAATGTGGGCAAAGAGTGGCTAATTATTGGGACGTACAAAATTCTCTAGGGAGGAATTATTTGGACGGGGGCAATTAATTAGTGAAAGGGGAAATTAACGGAAAGAGGAGAAGGGTTGCGTTGGGAAAAGCTTGGGACGGAATAATAGAGAGGAAAAAGAAGCAGCTGGCTAAGGGAAGGAATTCTTTGGACACAAAAAGAATTAGGGAGGAGGGCAATTTTTTGGAGGCGAGAAGGCTGGGGGAGAATTCTTTTGGAGAGCTTCTTTTGGGCGGCTATTATTTGCCAGGGGGCAGAATAATTGGAGAGAAAAGGGACCGAGAAGCGGCAGCGCGAAAGGGAGAAGCAGCACAGCTCGGAACAGTTGGGGAACGCAAGCAGCGAACATAATTTGTTCCAAGAGCTAGGCGATAGCGAGGGTTTGACCAGCATCGCAGCTTGAGTTATCGAGTATTTTTGTTCCTTCTCTTTTCATTAGTTTTATGAGGATAATGAACATGGTTATATCTTTTGATTTCATCATGAACTAAACCCCAATTTCTGGGGGAAACACCATAGGATGTAGCTATTTCTTGACTTGATGGATTGATTCGTATTTCTTTTCTTCCAATCTCTATTGCATGAAATTACTTAATGCTTTGTGTTGACTGGCCACCAATACATTAATTTGTTGTTAATTAGGTTATTAGCGACAGTGAAACCCTAATAACTGAACCTATTTCATGTGACATAGTAACTTATCGAAGCGACAATGGATTAAATAAGGTGCTATGCGGTCTTGATTACGATATCGATCTTCAGGCTAAATAATTAAGTCATTGAGCTACGAGAGTAGGATTTGATTTAATTGTTTAGTACGTAGTAATTCCTGACAGGGATAGCTAGCACAGTAGTGATATCCTGGCTGTAGAGATATGTATTAAATTGATTGGAATATGTGAATTAATTTGGATATGATAGGTAGTGAGTTCCGGTGTTTCTCCCAGAGCTTTCTCCCATTGAATTTCTCACGACAAGTTTACTTTATTTATTTTGTTTAATCATTTTTCCATTAGATAATAGTTTCATCACTCAAACCATTTTCACCTTTAGTTTGCTCCATAGAATTGATAGAATATAAGGTTGTACCAATCCCTGAGAGACGATACCTTGACTTTCCGGTTAACTACAAGATAGGAATTGAAGCAATACGCTTTTGCCCTATCACATTTGCCCCTCAATTTGCACCCCCGTTTTTGCCAAACATAGTTAAACATAAAAGTTGTGAGTTTAAAGTAAAGGTAATTAGCAATTATTAGGCACAAATTTCCCACATTTCTTTAGCCAAACCTATTGAATTACTCATAATTAGCAAATGTTAACTTTTAGTTAGCAATTCTGTTAGTAATATTGATTTAGCAACATGATACTTACTTAGTAGAGACAAATAGATGTCAACATTTCAAAATTCTAATATTTTAACTAAGTAAAAGAGTTACAAAATTATTAACGATAAAAAAATGATTAATATTTTGATGCATTACAAAAGATTTGAATACTTATTAGTAATTTAATAGCTTTGACTATTAAATAAGAATGCGAAAAAGATTTGGCTACTAATTAGTATTTATTGTAAAGTAAATAATAATTCTAAACTTTTAAATTAGAAAAATGAGAGAAAGTATGTTTATTTTTTTTCGATGAATAAGTATGTTTATTTTGTCTAAAGCTTTCCATCAATAAAATTTATTAAAGCAAAAATACCCAAAGTATGTAAGATATTTGTAAAAGCTACTTAAAGTGAACTAAGGGTATATGATTTAGAGAATTAAGATATATAGTTTACTTATTGAATTTTACGGTATCGTATTTTACCAAAAATCAATTTATTCAAAGTAGAAATAATATTTTCTTATGAAATAATATACACCCAAAATTTATTATGTACCATACGTATGTAAATATTATAGCAGCATTGTTTTAGTGAGACAGAAAACATGTTTTCTGGGATTAGATTGTAGAAATTATACACACGTGAGGATAACACAAACCAAACTCAATAATGTTAATCTATTCATTTCCTTGTAATAGGTCCAGATCGGATCAGTAACTGATGAGTCAGTAACCCATTAGTAACTCTCTTTCCCTGTCCCTACGTGTCAGTCACTTTTTTATTTAAATTAAATGTAAAAGGGCAGTACGGTAAAATCGCACTTACTCCTATTTATTTCTGACACTGACTTTTGACCGGACCACATCAGCGCCTCCTTCTCTCTCCTCGCAAAACATTTAATTTTCTTTCTCTTAATCTATAACGGACGATTTCTCACTCGTTTTAAGTCAAAATTTAATTTTTTTTTGCACAGTTAGATCATATTAATTATGATCTTCACAATGATATCCACTTTGATATTTTTTGGACACAAAAAATTTGTTAGTTATTACAAGTCTATACCATATGGTATTGACTGGTATTTAATAAGAGCTTACCATATGGTATGAAAATTTTTGCCACATGAATATATATTTCGTTACCACCCAATATCATATGGTATAGTGTGGTAATATCAATATATATTTCGTTACCACTCAATACCATATGGTATAATGTGGTAATATCAATATATATTTCGTTACCATCCAATACCATATGGTATAGTGTGGTAATATCAATATATATTTCGTTACCACCCAATGCCATGTGGTATAGTGTGGTAATATCAAATATATATTTTGTTACCACCCAATACCATATGGTATAGAGTGGTAATACCAATATATATTTCGTTACCACACAATACCATATGGTATAGTGTGGTAATACCAATAATATTACCTAAAAGAAAGGGGGAAAAAATAAAAGAAGTGAGAGGGAAAAAAAACTTGTCTTATGACTTCCATTTTTATTCGTATTGCTAGAGAAAAGAATGAAGAAGGAAGAGAGCAGATCTAGATTTGAAAAGGAGATTGTGAGAGAAAAAGTAAGAAAGAAGGAATAGAGAAAGAGAAAAGATCTGGAAAGAGATTAGGAAAAAGGAAGAGAGAAGAAAGAAAGTAGAGTTGCAAAGAAAAGATTATTCTTTCTCTTTCATTGAAAATTCAGCCATTGAAATGCTGAATAAATATAAAAAATACAAAATACAAAAAAGACAAAAATACCCCTCTCCACCCCGCGTCTAGCCCAGCCACACGATTGCTACATACCTTAGATCTACAGCTCTCGTGTGGTTACTGACCCTATCCCATTTTCCAAGCCTCTTTAATGTTAGGATAATTCCAATTCTCATCCCACCTGCCATAGGACACTACAACATAAAGAATAATTAACAGGAAAAAGAAAGAAAAAAAAATTTGTTTAGCGCAGTTGTCTGTTTATAACAAACATCATTAGCACCCTCTAAAGTCTAATCTATTAAGAGAAACCCATGAGGATTTGTGTAATGCAACTAGCTTAAGTGAGCATTTGTTTAATAAGAATTGAGAAACCACCCCTTCTATACAAATCAATTGGGGTTATCAAGGGACGTCCGACCTACCCAGTGGTTGGTTCCCCCACTCCCAGTCCCATAAATGGCAACACTAGCAACCACCCAAGGAAGGGAAAAATCGAACAAACAAACACACATTCCACTCGAGGGTCGTAAAGCGAGCCCGCTCCGCTAGGGTGGATCCAAAAAGCCCAATCCAACGGCCCCAGAGGTGTCCACATCGTCAGGAGGAGAGATACGAGGCACGCTTTGCTCAGTTGCTGTTCCCGACACCGGGTACGGCCGTCCACGTGGGTGCTTGCGGTGTGTGGGGACGCCTTGGCACGTGTCGCCTGTCTAGTCTGCCGTGGATTGCGGAATCTTTTATTGTACGGACTTCCCTTGCTGTGGGCCCCAGCGGCTCTCGTCCCATCCCAGGCTCGAGCTTTACTCGTTCGTTGGTTGTTACTCCTTCTTTTCCAGGACTGTGGTTGTGCCGGTGCCTAATTTAGCAGTTGTTAACAATCTAGTCCTTGAGATTTATAGGAATGATAGCGGATCAAAGAAGGTGTCACATGAAATATCAAAGTAGAGGAAAGAAGAGGACACGACTCTCATACTATTTTGCTGCTTATTTCCCATTGTTTCGTCAATAACAAAACTACAAAAGGGTGGAGAAACAAGAATTTTGTTTTTGGTGTTGGATGAAAAATTATTAATTGGATTTTCTTTGGACTTTATTTTAGCAGTAGATATAACAACAAATGTTTTGTAGTGCAACGAATAACCTATTTTCTTATAATTGCACTCTCAATAATTTGAATTTTGAAGACTACCACCTATTTTTTCTTCTTTTTATCCAAACTCAAACTGCAATTAGGAGTCAATAATTCCCCACCCCCAAAAAGTTTTAGGGGCTTCTGTGAATAGGGATGACAATGAGCCGGGTTGGTTGAATTTTGTCAAGCTCGAACCCAAACCCATGGGTATATCCACCAAAAAAATATGGGGTAAAAGTCAATGGGTTTGGATTCAAACCAACCCAACTCGTTGGGTATTTGCGGGTTCATGAGAACCATATGTTCTATAAAAGTACAATAATTTCCTGTCAAAATAAAAGTCGAACATCAATCTTCTCATACAAATTATTCGTACAAAAAACACAAATCTAAAGCGTACAAACAAACCGCAAATTATCCATACAAATTGTTAAACATTAAAGATAAACACTCATAAACAACATAATTAATTGAAAAACTTCTTTCTCTTTGTCAACTAAGCTTTTTCACTCTCTACTCCATAATATCAACTTCATTCTACACAATTAGGAAAAACAAATTAGACACGGGTTGGATATGGCTAAACCCGAACTCAATCCAACCCACAAAATAGTAGAACAGATTTAAAGCCAAACCCGGCCCACAATCCATCAACACGAGTTTTACCCGTTTTGATAAGATTAGATCGGATAGGGTACCCTATCTGTGAACAGTCTTGGCCCCTAAAATATGTGGTTAGTTACTTGCTTTCTCTGTCTGCCAGTATTTATCTAACCAAATGAAAAGCAGAAATGAGTATTAGAAAACTTTGCACATAACAATGCTGGTCAATCCACTAAAGAGAAAGAGAGATGACTTTCCAACCTAAAATTCATTAGTAAGCGGGTTACAATTATACCATGTTATTAAGCAAAGATGTTACTTTGAGATCGAAACCTCGTACACATAATGACCATCCTAGCAAGTGTATTAGGATTAGTCTTCCTAAATTCATCTCCATCTACACGGGAGTAGATATGGTGACTACTTGATAGTATTAGTTACCGTCATAACTAAGGACTAATTGAGCAAGAAATTTTTATTTATTAATTATTCATTTTAATAAATTAAATTTTTGGAAGTTATAATGTTAGACACACGGCGGATGAAGGGGATTAGAGATTAGATCCCTAATTACTTATTTTGTTATTTAATTATTATTTATTATTTGGCTATTTTATGGACAGCCTATTTAAGGCGAAGGATGTTATAATTTGGAGGTTATGGAAAAACAGATAAAAAAACCCTAAATCCCTCTCTCGAGTTCTTCATCTCTTCTCCCAATTATGTTCAATTTCTCAATCCCTAACCCTAAATTCTTCTATCAATTTCCCCCAATTCTCTACTCTGCTTACAGTGGTATCAGAGCTTCGTGACGAATATGAGTTCATCCCACCTCTGACCCAGGGAACTCGACGACTCCTGGGAGCAATTCCGTGAGGTGATGCGGTTGCTGGAAATTTAGACCACCTAGTGGCGAGCCGCCAATGGCATCACCACACCCTGGATCCCACTCTTCGCTGGAACCCCAGGAGAATTCCCCGTCGGAGATGGCTCCACCACCAGAGGCGCGCGAGCACCGGGAGGCGATCTCAGCCGCCGGACCCACAGCGGCGGCGGCCTCGGAAGCAGTGCTGGTCGGGGTCGGAGGACCTACTGCGATGCGGTTTCGGGCGCGTGTGGTAGGACACTCCGCCGTCGCATTGGTGGACAGTGGCGCGTCCCTGAATTTCGTGAGGCAGGACTTCGCGGCGGGACTCGGCCTAGAAGCGAAGCGGATCAAACCCTTCTCCGTCAAGGTTGCAAACGGCGCTACCCTCGAAAGCGACCAACTGTACCCTGCGGTTCCCCTCCATCTCCACGACCTGCAGGTAACAATGGATTTCTTCTCGTTACCACTCCACGGATTTGACGTCATCTTGGACATACCGTGGCTCAAGAGTCTCTGACCCGTCGTTAGTGATTGGACGACGATGCACATGAAATTTAAATGGAAGGACAAGGAATGGGAATTATAGGGCATGACCACAACATTGGAGCCGATCAGCTAGCACGATCCGCAACTCAGGGAGGAGGCGGAGCTGGCCGTGATCTACTTGTGAGGACACAGAGACGATACGAGAGACATTTCCGGCTTTCGATCTTTAGGGCAAGGTCAGTCTTTCAGAGGCGGGGAATGTTAGACACACGGCGGATGAAGGGGATTAGGGATTAGATCCCTAATTAGTTATTTTGTTATTTAATTATTATTTACTAGTTGGCTATTTAGTGGACAGCCTATTTAAGGCAAAGGATGTTATTATTTGGAGGTTATGGAAAAACAGATAAAAAACCCTAAATCCCTCTCTTGAATTATTCTTCTCTTCTCCCAATTCTGTTCAATTTTTCAATCCCTAACCCTAAATTCTTCTATAAAATTTCCCCAATTCTCTACTCTTCTTACATATAACTTATATATACATATTATTTAAAATTTTCCCTCACTCTATCTGACTTCAGTCGTTCCTGACCACCTTTCTACCTTCTTATTCTCAATTTTTTCTCATTCAGTCGAACCATAGCACTGCAAAAATAAAAAAAAAGAAATCAATAACAAATCATAAAAAAATACTATCACTTCGAAAAATACCAACACCAATTCAGAAGAACCAATTCCACTATAAAAATAAACAAAAAATCAATATCAAAACATAAAAAAGACTACCACTTCAGCCTATACAAAACACTACCACAAGTCCACAATATACATAGAATGAGGAATGGAAGCGGCAACATGATCAATAACACAACCGCTTACCACTACCACTTCACCTTACACCAAAAAACAGTACTACTAACATAACATGCACATAAACACTACCACACCTGTAATTATCAGTACCACAACATATACACAACCAATACCACAAAGACAACCACAAATACCATTGCCATAAAAAATCCAGATTTGGATGAGAGAGAGAGATAATGGGAGGGAGACAAAGAGAGATATATGTTGGTTAGGAGGCAACTAGTTCAAACAGGTTTAACTCATTAACATTTTGATTGGTTACGGCCGCGATGGCGGCATGAGGAAGGGGAAGGGAGCGGCGGTGGTGATGGCGTGAGAAATAGGGATGGCAATGGGTCGGGTTGGGGCGGGTTTTGCTAAATCCGAACCCAAACCCATGGGTGTATCCGTCAAAAAAACCAGGGGTAAAATCCGCTGGGTTTGAAAAACTCAAACCCAACCCAACCCGCTGGGTATCCGCGGGTTCATGGGTACCCGTGGATTTTTGTGGTAAAAATTTACAATAACAAATTTCTTTCAAAATAAAAGTCTAACATCAATTTTCTCATAAAAATTATCCTTACAAAAACACTAATCTAGAGCATACAAGCAAACCCGAAATTATCAATACAAATTGTTCAAATTAAAGATAAAGATCTATAAGCAACATGATTAATTGAAAACTCCTTCCTCCTTGTCAACTAAACTTCTTCACTCTCCACTCCATAATATCAACTTCATTGTACACAATTTGAAAGAATAAATTAGACATGTCTCCACAAACATAAAGAAGATTAGTTATTTAAGAAAGATATATTGCAAATAACCTGGAAAAATTAATTATATGGGTGTGGGCGGGTACCCATGGGTCGGGTTTAGCTAAACCCAAACCCAACCCAACCCGATGAATAGTGTAGCTGGTTTAAACCCAAACCCGGCCCAAAACCCGTCAACACGGGTTTTACCCGCGTTGACCGGATTGGGTCGGGTGGGTACCCGTGGATTCGGGTTTTGTTGCCATCCCTAGTGAGGAAGAGGGATGGAGCGGCATACGGTGGCTGCATGCGAAAGGGGGAGGGAGGTGGCAGGGAGAGAGAGTTGATGTGAGACGTTAGATTTTGTGGGAGGGAGATGTTAGACTAACTCTAATGGAGTCCCTATAAATAGAGAAGTCTCAATAAATGGAGTATTGTAATCTCCAATGCATCCTCATAAATGAAGAGGTCTCCATATTTGGTAAAATTTGCAAAAGGATCCCAAAATTGGGGATGGAGATGGGGATTTCCCCAAAAATGGTCAGAGATGTGTTGGTGGGCAGGACAACCGCCAGCCCGCCACCTTGTTTTTTTTAAAGATGTTAGGGGTTAATTGGGATTTAATTAGAGGATTAATTAGGAGTTTAATTAGATAAATAATTTTCAAATGTTGTGTGTAAAGAAAAATTAGGTCAATCATTTTTTGTAAAAAAAAAAATCGGTCTCGAAATTTATAATTTTTATAGAAATTTGTATTTCAAAATGATAACGAACTATACAAAAATTAATATGAACAAATTATATTAAGATGATCATAAGTAAATTTTTAAGTAAAGAAAAATGATGAAAAATGGGGATCATCACCAAATTTGGAAATTAAGGTCCCAAATTTGGAGAATAGCATTGGAGTTGGTCTTAGTCATATATGGAAAGGATATAGTATTCACTGTTCAGATGCAGTAACTTTTCTATTTCAAAATTACTCTGGAAAAATTTTGACCGTGAAATTAAAAAAAGGACAAAATATAAAAACAGATGTTAGAAAGTTAGGTTGTATCGGTGACAACCTTTAAACTTGTTTTCATGCTGATTAACCCATTCCTCATTTACACGTGATTTTCAGATATACGTGTGTAAATCCACCCCCCCTATATCCAACTAGAATAATATCTAAAGTTGATACTTAATACAATTAAGTTTACAAACATGTAAAGTTTGCATTCAAACATCAAATGAACTTATTAACAAAATTTAATTAAGGATGACCGTAGTAAAGTTACAACTAAGTCCAAATCAATGAAATCATACATCCCTACATTATTCATCGTAAAATCTTTTATTATTTGTCACCAACTTTATAAGTATATCTCTAGTTCAAATGTATTTGAATATGACTTCATCGTAGGAGTTTTCACAACTTTTAACACATATCCAACACTCCTTACTTTCAGAAATCGAAAAATGGACATTAGTCGGAAAAAGCTGAAGTTGTCGTTGTTTTCGTCATCTTACCTCTCAATGCCTTTTAGTAGGATGCTCAAATGGAGTGGTTACCGTGGTAACCGTTTTAACCGGTAGTATTTGGATAATTTGGCTTAATTAATCTGGATATTTGGTTTGGTTTGGTTTGGTTAAACTTTTTAGCTTGTTTGGTTTAGGTGGTTTGGTTTACTTTCAGACACTCTTAACCAATCAAACCAAATTAGCTAGTTAAAAAATTAAACATATATCGAATTTATATTATATATACATAATACTTTGCATAACCACTCAAGTGTTAAGTGTTCCTCCCATTTAGGCTTATAAAAAATAAAGTTTAATATTGTTCGTATATTGTATATTTGTATTCGTAGAGTGTAGGCCACACCTAATGATATGATCCATTTTTACCCATCTTGCAAGCCACAATTTCTTGAACAAGACGCAGGTTCAATTGGCAAAGAAAAACACCAAATGCGACTAAGTGTTTGTTCATGTGCGGTATACTCACTTTGCAAGGGTGGTTATTTCAAATGCTTCATTGAAAATGGATAAAGGGAGGCTTGTCTTAAAGCTTGGGAGCTGCCCTACAAGATGGAGTGCTTTGGAGTTCATGGTGAGGCCAAAAGAGTCGTTTTTAATGCCTCTCAAAAGGCTAGGTCGAAACCTGAAGATGGCCAAAAAACGGCTAAGTGTCAAAGTCAGTTCGAGGTCCTTACTTTGAAGGGCTGCTCAAAGCGCATGGAAGAGAGTCGCAGCTGGAGGGTTGAATAGCATCCAAGTACAAGTTTTACTCTACAACGACAAGGCATTCGGTGATTGGATTGATGATTGGGAGAGCTCGAACAAATAGGCCAAAGTTCGTATCGAAGCTGGAAGTCTGCCTGCAAATCCGAATCCTATTCAGATTAGGATTAGAAGTCTGTTTTCAATTTTAGTACGTTTTAATGTTTGTTTTGGATTCCTTTCAGAGGTAGAATGTAATTGGGACTTATTCAAGAGTCCTTAGGATTCATAAGGTCTATTTAAGCTAGTTGTTTTCATTGTAATTGATAGTTTTATGTTGAATCGAATAAACCAAGTGGTTTGAGTTCCATAGCATTTTGCTTTGAGAATTTGGAGATCGTCCTAGGGTTTTCTAGGCTCGATCTTGAGCTTGTATCGCTCAAGTAATCACCCTGATTGTGGCCAAGCCACTACTTAAGACTTCGAGCCTCTTTCCCCACGAGAAGGTTGCACGAAAGTCACCATCCCAAACACGGTTTTCAAGCTCTGTTTTGAGTTTGTTGCCTTGAATATCTGTGATTGAATTCGTTGTTGCGCGTACTCTGATCCAAGCTACCCAATTGGGGCTTATTACCTAATTTAGATAAAACTCATACATTATGTTGGATGAAAACTTGAAAGGAAAGTTTGTCCAACCTATGATAATTGCTAAGAGACTAAGTCAATTCACACAAACACAACAATTCATTAACCTTATATCATTGCATATGTTTTTGTTAGGTGAATACTTCCATTGACTGTAAAATAATTGTATTAATTGCATGTATTTATGCTAAAGGTTAACTATAACTATGTATTGATTTTTATTTTTTATTCATTATATAAAATGCGAATTGATGTATTCATCGAAAAAGTTTATACTTAATGATAATGTGATACTATATTGGCTAATCGAGTTAACCAACTAACCAAACCGTTTAAACTTTAGTTTAGTTAATTTGGTTATTATATTAATTTTGACGGTTTGGTTATGATATAGTATTCCATAGTGAATAAAATTTAGGCTTATGTAACTTAATAATTATTATGATAACCATTTTAACACTCATACTTTTAGTCACCACTTGTTAGAATGTGGTATAAGATCCAGCAGAACCTTCTCCTAACAACTCGAGTTATTGGGAGCAACTGGTTCTTTACATGGTATCAGAGCCTTCTGTGATCGAGAGGTCTTGTGTTCGATTTCTGGTGACCCCCATTTGTTAAGCACATGTTATTTTTGTCTTCAAACCTGTGCAAACTTCAAGCACTTATGAGTGACTTTCTTTTGAGGGGGCGTGTTAGTGTTGTGGTATATGATCCACAATTGAACCTCTCTCAACAACTCG